GGGGGGGGGGGGGAGTCCCAGCCTGTTGCGTGTGCCGAGAGAGAGAAGAACAGAATCCAACCAAAGAAACCAAGTAAAAGGAGGTTCTATGATTGTACTGAATGTTGAAGGAAGGAATGGGGCTTAAGGAGTACCTACATGGACCAATGGATGCCGAGACAGAGCTCAAGGGCAAATTCAGACCGAGGACATTGGCCTTAGGAAGGCGACGATGAGACCAAAAGTTTACCTATGATTGCGGCTCGGAGTGCGAAGACCTTGTTCGTGTAGTTGCGGAATGCTCATTGTACAAGACGGAGAGGGAAGTGGACATGACTAAGCCGTGGAAAGTAGAGGGGAGATACATGGGCATGATTGAGGCATGGAATAGCCAGAAGAAGATGGTAGCCGTACTTGGGCATAGAGAAATGGATTGAAATGGCGGGAAGCGATATCGATAGGATGGATTAGGGAAGACTTTTTGAGCCACCTTTGGCAAAGTAGGAAGAAACGATTGACCATAGGTGATCGGTCCTGTGGGAACACAGTGCTCCGTCTTCTCGAGGACGCGTGGTCAATGGTCTAACCGCCAAAGCATGGAACACATAACAGTACGCCCCCCCCTCCAACGCCATACAATTTCCTTTGTAAATCGAGTCCATACAAAACAATCCTGTTTGAGCGGGGCACATTTCATGCACGGGGTTAGTGCAATCCACGTAGCCCCTGGGCGAGCTTGCCTGTACTGCAACCAACGACACCGTGGAAGAGGTCGGAGGAGGGTTAGGGTTAGGGTTAGTGTCAGGGAGGGGGAGGGAGGATGAAGGCGCTCGAGGCGAAAGCGCTCGAAGAAGCTGCTGTTCAGTCTTGTTGAGGGAGATGGCGGGCTTGAGGGATATCAAGTACAACGCACGGCCAATTGCAATTGTTACGGGTGTTGCACGTGGCGAAGGTGAAGCCACCGCCGTAGGCTCATCGTCAGTCCCTCTCCGGTATTTTCCCGGCTTGAGTGAGCTTGGATTAATGATGTTGCACGCATGGTTTTTTTGTGTTATTTGATTCTGGTGTGTCATTTGTTGGTGTTATTTCGCCACATTCGCCCAAGGTCATATGGTCGTGGAGGACTTGTCCCAGAAGCTTGGAGACATTCTGAGCTTTGCAGCTTAGGGGGTCGTCCCAAGCACTACTGTTCACTTCAAGACTTCAAAACCTACTACAAATGTACCGCGAAAAAACAAAACTTTTCTTCGCGGCCCTCCGGGGAGAGGGGGAGGGCGGGATGTACCCAAAGTCGTGCATGCCGTAGTTGTTAGACCATTGGCCTCGCATCCCTACGAAGCCGGGACGGAGCACGCCGGGTTCTCACCGGCTCAGGCTCTCACATCACCAAGCGCGAAGCGTCGTGAGGTATTCGGCGAGTCGCATGAAAGGTGCGCTGCACCCTGCAAAGAGGGTGTTCGGCATCATGTGCTTACTTCGTTGCGTGCGGATGACGGCAGCGTATGACTCAATACATTTTCTGGTGCTTTCACTTCCAGAGACAGTTGTAAGCACTGAGTAACTGCCTCGAGGATGCTTGACCATTTTAACACAACGTGGTGCGATCATGCCCCTTGCGCGGAGTGAGGGTTTTCGGCCCCGCACAACATCATCTACTCGACCACCATCCATTCCTGGTTACAGTAAAAACACCAAAGGCACATAAAAAGCGGTAACCTGTTGCCGAGCTCACGAAGTGATCAACTTCTTTCAAAACATCGCTGCCAAGCGACGAAAATCCATTCCTGATGGCAAACACCGGGGGGCCCTCCGGGGGGGGGGGGGGGGGGGG